AGCAGGGAGCCCGATGCGGGACTCGATCCCGGGACTCCAGGATCATGACCTGAGCCGAAGGCAGTCGCTTAACCGACTGAGCCACCCAGGTGCCCAGGGAAACACATCTTAATCACAGTATGAAGTTAGGGAAGATTTTGACAGAATGTGACTAATAAGCTAAGTTTTAAAGGATAAATTTGAGTCAGCCAGAAGAACCATATTGAGAATAGATGTCAGGAATATTACAGTGTAAAAGAAAATCATTCTTAAGGAAAGTAAAGCTTTGAATTTCAACTTAAAAAGTTTAAGCCTAAAATACGAAAGAAGAAATTATACTTAGAATTGATGTCAGGAATATTACTGCATAAAAAAATCATTCTCTAGGAAAGTAAAATTTTAAATTCAAGTTTAAACCTAAGATGTGAAAGAAGAAATTATTTATAAGGCCTTATTACTATTTTAGTCTTCAACATTATAATTTAGTTGAGTAGAAATTTTAAAAATAATGTGGCTAAGTATACACAATCTTAGAATTAGTCTTCTTCTTGAGAAGAGTCACGAAGAAACTTAAGATGACACTTGTTAAGACAAAAGTCTGGGGAGAGTTCTTTGTGCTTTTCAAAATTGCAGTCTCCTTGTTTGTTACACACTGAAGGTTTGTGTACTCGAAAACTGGAATGGGTGGGAGAATGAACGGTAAATTTGTGGGTGTGTGAGTATGTGTGTATGTATGAGTGTGTATGTCTGCATTTGTGGGCATATATGCATGTCTGTGTGTATGTGTGTGAGTGTAGATGTAAGTATTTATTGATTTAATGAGACACAGAAATCAGCAGAGCACTATCCTTGACCTTGTGTAACTTAGTCCAGTGGTCTTTTACTATGTGAAAACGCCACAGGAGATGTTTCAGGTCAAGATCATGATGGACGGAAACAAGAGAACTTACCCAGATAAAAGCTTTTTAGTTTCAAGGTAACTAGGATGAGGACAGCTCTGAATTTGACCTACATAACTCCAATTTCTTATAGTTACATACATCTTGATATATTGAGTATATATCTTTTCATCATATAAGTAATACATGCTCATTGTGGTAGACTTGGTACTTCAGAGAATTCTAAGAAAAAAAAAAGTGAATGTTAATACTCCCAAATTTCAACAGCCAGAGATATAGCCAGTGTTGGCTTTTTTCTAGTAATAGCATGTATGGTTTTTAAAAATGTAATTTAAAAAATGATAGACATTCAGTTTTTAGTCTTAATATTTTTCCATTTTATGTAGGAAAAATGCTTTTATTACTAAGCACTTTCATAAACCTTGAAAATACATGTTTGAGGGTTTTAAACAAATATAATCTCTATTAGTTTATTTTCTTATCTGATTTTAAAAAGATAATACAACCTTGATTTCATTTCACTCATCCTTTGAACCAAATCCGAGGAAGATAAAGCCCTTTGATCTCCATAGTTACTTTGTAGCTGTCAGTCTGTATAAGCCGGCTTCTGAAATGATTCCAATTAGCAATTTTTCACCACAGTGTGTAAAATGTGCCTTGCTTTCTTTTAAAGAAACTCTATAAAACTTTGAGTGAAGTCAAGCTGGAAGTAGAGACTGTAATCAAAACCGGAAGGCACATTGTCCAGAAGCAACAAACTGACAACCCCAGGGGGATGGATGAGCAGCTGACTTCTCTGAAGATTCTCTACAATGACCTGGGTGCCCAGGTAAGGGCAACTCTACTGCTCGCCTGCATCTCTCTCATTTATGTATTTTAAATTTTTGCTCCTGGAAGAATGCATGTTTGAATTTTAGGGCACTAATAATAGTGTTTTCAATTATTCCAGTATTTTTTATTATATTTCTTTACATCTGTATATTAATATCACAATGATGAATAAGTGTAGAGAAATTCACTTTTAATATTTAATTCAGACTCATTTTTATATTTTCAATGGCTAGTCAATTTTCAGAAGTTATTCTAAGGAAACTCTACCAGTAATAGCCCCTGTATAAACTCAAGTTACTGGTCCTTAGATTTCTAAATTGAATAGTCTACTGAGAAATGTTAAAACATTGGGACTCTAATAAATGGTAAGTGACAGGAAGTTCACATTAATAATCTAGCAGGATCTAAAATCCTTTTAAGAAACATCTATTAATTTGGGCATCTGAGCAAATCTGCAGGGGGATTTTTGGCCATTTATTGTGAGTGACTATATTCAGAAGGTTGAATGTCTTCTCTTATGAGAACTCTGCCCTGAAACCAGGAAAGCAAAGCAAAACAAAACAAAACAGCAAGAACAACAACATCGAAAGTGTTTAAGTGAAACCTTCTTGGCAATATTGGAAAGCTGTGTTAGATAATATTTTAGATCCTTCTTGGGTTTTTAAATATTACCTAAGTTTCTACATAGACCCAGAGAAAACTAGCTGAAATTTTGTTATCATTTTTGGATCAGTAAGAATGAGCAGTGCATACATTTTCTGGACAATTTTGACCTCCTCACTAAAGCAAGAGAAAATTGCTAATCTGATATATTTTGTATCATTTTGATACATTGCACATCTGGAACACACAGTGTAGGGCTTCTTCTTGGTATTATTATACAGCTGACGTTATTTCTCAAATATTGCTGTATTTATTCATCAACTGGGCATTTTTTGGATGGGAATGGTGCTGCCGGTTTTAATGTCAACTCTCCAGTTGTGACTATGGTTTTAGCGTTAAGTCATTTTCTCATTCAACACAATTGAGACTGTACCGTGTGACAGGAATCATATAGGCAGTAGTGGTGGTGCACAAAAAATTATCTTTGTCTAATAGAACTTAGGATAACGAGAGAAGAAAACATTAATCATGTAGTCATACAAAGTAATGTCACATTAGCGGTCTGAAGTGTTGTGAAGGAATGTATGTGCTGCTTTAAGAGTGTATGTAATGGGGGATTTGGCCCAGACTGGGGTTACAAAAACTTCCTTGAAGAAGTGGTACGTAAACTGAGATCTGAAGGACGAGTAGGAATAGCCTGGGTGAAAGCAGTGGAGGAGACTTTGAGGTTGCTGGGACAGCATGTGGAAAGGCTCTGTGGCAGGGGGCAGCATGGTACATTTGTGTGGCTAATGCAGCAAGTGTGGGGAACATGGTGTTGGAGAAAGGGATGAGACCAGAGCATACTAGTGTCTTAGGTTTGTGATAAGGATTTTAATCTTAAGAGCAATAAGCAGTAATTGCAGGATTTTAGCAGGGAGATAACAGGCTCATGTATTTGCTTTTTAAAAGATCACTCACTGCAGTTGAATTGGAGAAAGGCAGCAATGGATGTGAAGAGAGCAGTTAGGAAGTCATTGTTGCATTCTTAGTGAGAAATGATGGGGGCATTAATGAGGGTGGTGGGGCAGTGGAGGTGGCATGAGCAGATGGACTTAGACACATTTAAGAAGTGAGGTGAGTAGGAGTTGATGATGGATTAGGATGTGGGAGTATAGGAGGTGAGGAGATGAAGGATGACCCCTGGGTTTCTGGCTTGGTTACATGGAAGATCATGGTACCGTCATTGGGAGGGGGCACTGGAAGGAAAGGCGGAAACATGGCAAAGTCGTAAGTATGTATTGGGCATGTTCACACGTTAAGTGCCTTTGTGAGAGTGAATTGAATATATCAGGTACTCAGAAAGTTATTCAAGTCTGGAGACTATATCTGGGCTGAAGCTAGGAATTTTATGAGTCATCTGCATAGAGATGGTAATTAAAGTTTTCAGTGGTGTTGAGATTGTCTAGGGAGAAGATATAATGAGAAAAGAAAAGCCTATCCAAGCCACAAAATAAAAAATAAATGAGTGGGACTACATCAAACTAAAGAGCTCCTGCACAGCAAAAGAAACCATCAGCAAAATGGAAAGACAACCTACAGAATGGGAAAAAGATATTTGCAAATCATATATATGATAATGAGTTAATATCAAAAATATATAAAGAATCCATACAACTCAATAGCAAAAAACCAAATAATCCAATTAAAAATAGGCAGAGGACCTGAATAGACATTGTACCAAGGCAGATATATGAAGGGTCAATAGGTACCTGAGAAGGTACTCAAGCATGACTAATCATTGAGGAAATGCAAATCAAAACCACAATAAGATACTACCTCACACCTGTTAGATGGGTAGTATCAATAGAAAGAGATAATGCTGGTGAGGATGTGGAGGAAAGGATGTGCACTGTTGGTAGGATTGTAAATGGGTGCAACTGCTGTGGAAGACAGTGTGGAGGTTCCTCAAAAAATTAAAAATAGAGCTACAGTATGGTCTAGTAATTCACTTCTGGGTATATATCTGATGGAAACAAAAATACTACATTGAAGAGATATCTGCATTCTCATGTTCATAGTAGCTCTGTTTAGAGTTGCCAAGGCATGGAAACAACCTAAGTGTCCATTAATGGAAGAATGCATATGGAAGATATGGTGTGTGTGTGCATATATATATATGGTTTATCTCACTTAGCACAATGCCCTCATTGTGGGAGGTGGGGAGCTGGTGGGTCTGGGAATTGGATGAAGGTGATCAAAAGGAACAAACTTGCAGTCACAAGGTACATAAGCCCTAGGAATATAATGTACAACATGCTGACTATGCTCACACTGCTGTATATGTACATAGGGAAGTTGTGAAAAGGGTAAATCCTATGAGTTCTCATCACAAGGAACAAAAAGTTTTCTGTTTTTTTTTTTTTTTGTATCTGTATGAAATGATGGATGTTTAAAGTTATTGTGGTAATCATTTTGTAATATATGTGAGTAAAGTCATTGTGTTATACACCTTAAACTTATACAGTGCTATATCTCAATAAAACTGGAAAAAATAAATTAAAAATAATTTTTAAGTAAATTAAAAAAAAAAGGGCCTGAACCAGGTCTTGAGGAATTAGATCATTTAGTAAGAAATTTGAGGAAGATGTGTTTGCAAAAGAAACTGAAGTATATCTGTGCCACATTTTATTTATCTGTTCATCAGTGGACATTTAAGTTGTTTCCACATCTTGGCTACTGTGTGTAATGCAGCCATGAACATGGGCAGGCAGATATCTTTTCTAAACACTGATTTCATCTCCTTTGGATATATACACCAAAGTGGGATTATTGGATCATATGGTAGTTTTATTTTTAATGTTTTGAGGAACCACCATACTGTTTTCCATAAGTATACTTGAAATCTGCTAAGAGAATAGATGTTAAGTATTTTCACTACCAAAAAAAAAAAAAAAAGGTAACTATGGGAGATGATAAATGCATTGATTAGAAGTGTTAGCATACCAGGAGAGTGCTGGGGCTGGGAAGCCAGGGGAAAAGGGCATTTTGAGAATGGGTAGAGGCACTGGTTTTGAATTATTGAGCATAAAAAATGATGTCCACTTAAAGATGTCCATTTAGATCTGTTGCCTTTGGAGTCATTATTGAGCTGAGTCAGCAAAGACAATTTCTGTGGAGTGATAGGGGTAGAAGGCAGGATGGGAGGAGGTAAGAAATGTGGGGAAGGTAAGAAAATGCTTTAGAGGATTGGTAAGGGAGAGATAGGAGAGAGGAAGGTCTTAGGGTAGATGGAGCCAAAGAAGGATAATTTTTTTTTTTTTTTTAAATATAAGAGACTTGAGTATCTATATACTCAAGGGGCAGAGGGAGAGGGAGAAGCAGATGGGAGAAGCAGACTCCCCGCTGAGCAGGGAGCCCCATGCAGGGCTCGATCCCAGGACCCTGAGATCATGACTTGAGCCGAAGGCAGACGCTTAACTGACTGAGCCACCCGGGTGCCCCAAGACCTGAGTATATTTCATAGCTGATGGGGATGTTCCTATTAGGGAATGATTGAATATCTAAGAGGGAGAAAGGAGAAATGATTAGGTAAAATCTCTCCAAGTTGATACTGCCTAATTCAGAATGCATACATCTCAAAATGTATTGGTTAGACTGAGAAGAGTTTTTGTTGAACTGTAAATTATTTTCTTCCTGGTATATACAAATCTTTGGTAGCATTAAGTTTTATGATGATTGTGTAACTGCCTGGGCATGTCAAGATCAGATGAGATCCTCTGAATACCTAATATCTTTTAATATAATTCGTGTATTTGTCTCCTGAAGTCTGCATTGAGGGGCTATTAATTTAAGGTCATGAATTCTAATTAAACTGTGTAGAGAAAAATATTTGACTTTTAAGAAGGAATTTAATAATAATCAGTCCTTGAGGTACGAAAGAATAAAATTGAATCTAGGGGAACAGAAAAAAGAAATGTAATTCCACATACTTATTAAGAAAATTCAGTCTTTTTATCATCTAAGAAAATTTTATCCCATACATGACTTATCACTCTGCTACTTAGGTAATGCGAATTATCTCTACCTATGTGCACATAAAAAGAACACGTTTATATATGTATTGTGTTGTGATACCCTTAAAAATGCTATCTCAGCGTTAGATTATGAGTGATAGTTTTGTTAGAGCATACCATCATGTAATGTAAAGTGTCAGACCAAGCTCAATCCAGCGGCCGTGTCCCACTGATCGTAGCCTTGGCCCCTTTAAGCTTCACGGCCCTGACCTGCAAAGTAGAGGCTGCGGAGGGTCTTACTGCACAGCATGTGTAAGATTCTTCAGCGTGATATGGGAGCTATGTTAAGAGCCTGGTAAATGTTAGTTCAGTTCATTTTGCTTTCTGTCAACCACAAAAACAAAATAATACTGAAGGTTTATGTTGCATAGCCATTTATTATATTTTAAGTTAAGTAGTTAACTGCAAAACATAGTTATGAAAATCATACTATTTCCTGCTCAAATTTCTAGAATATAAGGTATATGTGTGTGTTTTTTAAACAGAATTCTTTCTTGAGAGGATTGTAGGGCATCTTCTCTTGAAAATGATAAAAGATATCATTTACTGATTCCTTAACTTTGTTACCAGGCCTGGACCAAGCCCTCTGTGCATGTATCTTTCTCATTTGATACATAACAACCTTTTGAGGGCTATGCCTCTACCAAGGTCACTTAGAAAGTAATTGGGAAGAGCTAAAATGAAAACCCAGGGTTGCTTGACACTTAACCTCTGTAGTATATTGTCCCCTTGTGGAAATACAAGAATGGAGTGATTCCAGGTGGGAGAGATAAAGGTTATGTATGTCTTGGGGTTAAGTATGAATAGTTTGGATCTTTAGTTATTATTTGGATTCATTCTTTTCATGTTCTTTTCCCTCTTCCTTTCCTTTTCTTTCTCCCTCCTCTCCCTCCTCTCCCTCCCTCTCTCTCTGTTTCCCTCTCTTCCCTCCCTCTTTCCCTCCTTCTCTCCTTCTCTCCCTCTCTCTGCCTCCCTCCCTCTCTCTTCTCTCTCTCTCTTTCTCCTTTTTAGGTGACAGAGGGAAAACAGGACCTGGAAAGAGCATCACAGTTGGCCCGGAAAATGAAGAAAGAGACTGCTTCTCTCTCTGAATGGCTTTCTGTTACTGAAGCTGAATTGGTACAGAAATCCACATCAGAAGGCTTGCTTGGGGACTTGGATATAGAAATCTCCTGGGCTAAAGTAAGTTGTAGTTTGGGTTACCTGCCAATATTATGCCAGGGTCTCCTGTGGCATTTTGTTCAGGATGTCATTTATCTCCATTTCATGTTAAATATAGCCTTTTCTTTTTTCCATTATTTTTTCGACTTCTGTCTTAAGAAAAAAGAAAAGACTATTTTGAAAGACAATAATTTTAAGAAGATATTTTTATCTTGATTCCAAAAGCATTAAACTCACATGGATCATCAGTAGGGCCTACATAGGCATTGTGCCTATGTGGTACTTAAAAACATTCTAATCATTACCTTCACAATTGGTGATATTTTTTGAGTATTCATTTTTCACAAAGTATTGTGCTGAATTGAATTTATTTGTTAATTCTTCTGTGATAACTTTTATACCAGTAACTAAATTTTCTATTGCAAACGAACTGATGGAAAGAGCATAGGAACAGAATTTTCAAAAAAAAAAAATCAATGAAAGATCCAAGAGTTTTCTGTAACTCTGTAGTTATTTTGAATCAGAGATTAGAGAACAGATTTGCTGATTCTCTTTTGAGGTGGACAAAGAATTGAATGGAACAGAAACTACTTTTTTTTTTAATTGAAGGCATTCTCTTTTCCTAAATTTGCTTCCTAAGAAAGAAGCATGTATACTAGAGATAAGTCCTGAATATAAATGATCAATACTGTGATGGAAATGTATATAGAGCCACAAATATCAGTGTTGACATCTACAGGTGTTTGCTTGTGGGATGTGGAGAGCAGGTGCTATGAGGTTATGGAGGATGCAACCATTTCTTAATTTGAACATTTTGTAGAGGTAACAGTTGAAAGAGAGTCAAGATATGAGGCATTACAATAGCTCATGAAAAGTATAATTATGCAATGATCTGTGTGATGTGACAAGGATCTGGAGAAAGAGATGGAGGAAAGATAGGAGGAATATTGGAATTTGTCAATGAATGCAAAGCAAAGACATCAAACTTTCTTTTTGTTAAATTTAAGTTTTTCAAGGAAATATTATCTTCTTTGTACAATACATTTTGAAAACCATTATTTTCTTATTAATAACTTAAGTCATATAAGCTAATTGAATGACATTTGCACAGTGTAATGAAAAAAGGCAAAAGCAAAAATCATTTATACTCAAAGAATACACCATTTTCATTTGTTTTTCATAGGCATATATAAACATGCACAGACAGAAACATTTAAAAGTAATTATATTGTGTCTAATGTTTCTTAATATTGTTTTAAAAACTTTTATCTTTAATATTTTTCTTTACCTACAGGGGTTTTGTATCACACATTGGAGAGGTATTTTTTCTTATGCCATTCCTCTATTCATGTCCATTTAAATTATTACCAATTTCCACTATTGTAAAAAATGCTGTGATGAATATACTTGAAGCTAAATCATAACATATATTCATGATTATTTCTTAAGGATAAATTCTTAGCCTTAAAAATATTGGTCAAGGGATATACCCATTTAAAATTCTTATACACATTATGAAATTGCCCTTCGGAAATGTTGTACCCACCAGCTGTGAGTGAGAATTCCTGCTTGCTCGATGGTAGGCAAATATCATGTTTTGGTTATTTAATTGCAACATTTTCCAAAGTTTAGAAGCCATTTGTAGCTCTTTTTAGAAAGTCGCCTTTTGGGGGTGCCTGGGTACCTGTTGGTTAAGCATCCGACTCTTGATCTCAGCTCAGGTCTTGATCTCAGGGTTGTGAGTTCAAGCCCACATTGGGCTCCACGCTGGGCATGGAGCCTCCTTAAGAAAAAATTGCCTTTTTGTATTTCTGACCATTTTTGGTCTTTTAATTTAGAGCTCTTTACCTACCATAATAATAAATGCTTAGTGTGTTGTGTGTTGCATTTTTCTTTTCTTTTCTTTTCTTTTTTGTTTTTTTTGCTTTTTGCCTCTGCAGTTTCCTTTCTGTTTTCTGTTTTTTAAACCACTGTATTATATATTTTTTAAAGAATAAAATTCATCTTTTTCTTCACTGTATCTGTCTGTAGTGCTTGGAAACTCCAACACTACACTCTGCTCCAAGGTTATATAATTCTTTACTTCTATTTTTTTCTAGCTCTTTTATAGTTTCATCTTTTACCTTTAATGTTTTAATCCTTCTGGACCAAATAGTTAACCATTTATCATCCTTTCCTCTCTGATTTGACATGCTAAATTCATATATTCTTTTTGCCTGTTGCTTTTCTCTGTTTTCCGCTTCACTGATCTGACCTTCTGAATTGTTCTTCAACTGTTCGACTATATGGCTTCATAATGTATGTCAACATGTAGTTAATGGATTCCCTGTCTTCATGTTTCTGGGTTTTTTTTGTGTATACTCATATAAACCTAAGAAATATTAGTCTGAAATTATTTTAAAAATTCTGTTAGAAATTTTGGTTTGAATTGCCATAAATTTATAGATTTGTTTTGAGGAGAAACAATGTCTTTGTTATAAGTCTCCTTAGTAAGTGGTATGTTTCATTTTTCCCCCCAATTTTTTTACATTACTACATAATGCTTTGGTTTTTTTCTTCAGAAACATTATATATGTATGCAAAGATGTTTATTCCTACATACTTGTTTTTATAGGTGTATAAAGAGTATGCTTTTTCTCTATTTTTACTAATTATAGCTTGTACATAGGTGATACTGATTTTCACATATTTAATTTTTTTTTTTTTAAAGATCTTATTTATTTATTTGAGAGAGAGAGAATGAGAGAGAGCAAGCACATGAGAGGGGGGAGGGTCAGAGGGAGAAGCAGACTCCCCGCCGAGCAGGGAGCACGATGCGGGACTCGATCCCGGGACTCCAGGATCACGACCTGAGCCGAAGGCAGTCGCTTAACCAACTGAGCCACCCAGGTGCCCCTCACATATTTAATTTTTAATCATCTGTTTACTCACATCAATTCAATTCAATTAGTTGATTCTCATTATTTTTTAAGGTAAAGGCTTTTAAAACAATGGTAAGATCGTCTCTTCTGGTGCTATTCATTTTAAAATTCCCATTTAATCTTATTTCAGATTTGAAATAATGAAGATGGTAAATACAAATCACGAATTCACAGCACATTCTCTTCACTAGAGTAAATCAAATGAAACATCAGTATATAACATAATCACCCACTTTTCAATGTTGTTTTCAGATTTAAGAAACATTCATATTTCACAACATTTTAATGTATTTGCACTTAAAAATTATGTAAAATTTTTCAATGTAAAAATTTAAATAGCATTTTCATTCCTGAACTTTAACAGCATTTTTATTCAGTAGCTTAAATATTATTTTCAGTGTAGTCATTTTATTTACAATACAGTCTATTAGCGTAGATAGTTGTGTGTACTGTTTGCATTTAATTACTTGTACTTAATTATTTCGTGTAGTTCTTAAAGACTGTTCTAGTCAGTCAGTACATTCCCTGTGAAGGTAGGTAGAAAGTCTTAACTGCACAGAGCTTGGCCGTGGTTTTTTTTTTTTTTTCTTCTCCCTTCTGGAGAAGAACATTTAAAAGAAACATTTTAGTGCCTTTATAAATATACCAGTATTTGATGTGGCCAAGTGAATGTTTAAACCTTGACTCATCTGGGAATTTGCAATTTTTATGCCTTCCAAAATATAATTTAATGATGTGAAATTAAATATAAATGAGCTCCTTGAAATGATTTGTTTAAATGTTGGCTAAAAAAGGTACAAAGCAGTGGGGTGGGTAGATATGCTCATGTTACTTTTTGATTTTAGAACTTTGTAGTTTTAATTTTGGAATCCAGCATTTTTGCTGTATTTCTCTGCCTGGTCAAACCTTATGAATGTGCAAATCAAGTTATCATTATACCACCCAGAGTATTATCTTTCATATGGCAACTCTATGACTACAGCTTAGATGTGCTAGTTTTCCTATGATTTAGCTAAGATGAAATATTTTTTATAATGCTGATGCAACAGATTATATATTAAGTCACCTAGTACAGGGTATTATCCTTCCAAATAAATGTAGTACACATCAGTAGTTTCCTGTAGTAGTCTAGGACATAAATTCATTATAAAATTTTGAAAATTGTGACTTCTGGGATAGTTCTGCTTTGAAAATAAAATTGATTCTTTATGTCTAAAGCTATGATGAAGATACTTGGTGATTGTGGGTAATAAGTAGCATTTGTACTACATTAAAATTAATGAAATGATTACCTTTTCACAACTGAATTTGTTACTTTTTTGTATTTGCATAATTAAATGTTCTAATTTTTATGAGGAAGTTAAGAACTCTCAACATATTAATCAGATGTGGAGTTTTGGAAACCTTTGACATATTGTGAATTATCTATGGGAGTCATGGACGACTATGCATATGTTGAAGAAAAGTTTTTAAAAAATTAAAATTGTATAAACTAGGTGTTATCTGCAAGTGCTGAATCACTAAATTCTACCCCTGAAACTAATACTACATCGTGTGTTAACTAACTTGAATTTAAATAAAATCTTGAAACAAAAACAAAAAGCTTTTATAATGTTCTGCAAGATCAAGTGGATCTTGGTGTTTTTCTTTTCTAGAATATTCTGAAGGATCTGGAAAAGAGAAAGGCGGATTTAAATACCATCACTGAGAGTAGTGCTGCCCTGAAGAACTTGATCGAGGGCAGTGAGCCTGTTTTAGAGGAGAGGCTCTGTGTGCTTAACGCCGGGTGTAGCCGAGTCCGTACGTGGACAGAGGATTGGTGCAATACATTAATGGTATGTTTTGGGGAAAATTTAACAATGAAGTCTTTTCCCCTTTAATTATTTAAAAGCCAATACAGCTCTGATTAGAATCTTAAGTCCTGTTTTCTCTGTGTCACAGTAATGTTTTGCTTCAAGTGAATTAATTGCATTAGACAGACTGCATGTTATTTCTTCCCTTTGAAAAGATAATAACCAGAAAGAGTTAAAAATGTCTCTATTAAGTAGTAAATCATTTGTGATATACATAGAGATGTGTACTTTAATATCTTAGTAAACGTACCTCATTTGTTATAGTGTAATGATTTGATATTGTATTTAATTTTTATGCGATTGTAAACCATGTATATAATGTTTATAATGTCCTAATAATGGCATACTAACATCTGATGGCCTAAGTAAAAATTTTGACTACTGGGGGGTGACATTGGTGAAGTCACTTAAATACTCTCTAAATCTCAGTTTTCTCATATGTAAAATGGACAGTATTATAATTTCTACCTCATACAGTTTTTGTGATTATTATATGACATAAAACATGGATATTTGACTATATAACTGTACTTAAAATAACCAGTGTTAGATATCATGATGATGTTTATGCTAGTTATTAAAGGTTGTATGTTATCAGCCTTTGGTTATGCCAACTGTTAATTATTTCATGGAAATAGTGACCATTTAAATTTCACAGTGGTTTTCTGTCCCTCTTATACTAACTGAATATATGGCGACCTCCCTCTCTCTTCCCATAGAGGGTGTTTCATTTATAAATTATAATTTTGTTTTGACATATCTAAGATAGGACTTTTTTCAAATTCATAGAATTACTGGGTAATAAATAGAGACAGAGAAAAAATAAATTATCGTGTAGTTGAGCATTTACTGAAATCAGAATGTGTAGGGCATTGAAGCTCATGGGCTCATATCTTGATCTGTCAGCTTTTTATCTAGAGTTCATTCACAACTTACTACCTGCAAAACTTTGGTAAATTACTTAAATATTGCTACATTTTAATTTCCCTATATATAAAATCAGAATAAAAGAACATATCTCACAGAGTTGTTAAATGTTAAATAAAGAGTATGAAACTCTTGGCTCATAGAGTCTGTTCATTAAATATTTTATATATTCATTTTTATTGAAACTAACTTTATTCCACATTCTCACAGCTTACTTCTATATTCTTCAGTCTGTACCTTCCAAATTCTCCTTTCAAATAATACCTTTATAGTCCTGTTAGAACATTTTTAAAAAAGATTTTATTTATTTGGGAGAGAAAGAAGGAGAGAGCATGAATGAGGAAGAGGGGCAGAGGGAAAGTGAGAGGCAGACTTCCCACTGAGCAGGGAGCTGGACGTGGGGCTCCATCCAGGAACCCTGTGATCATGACCTGAGCCAACTGCAGACGCTTAACTGACTGAGCCACCCAGGCGCCCCTAGAACATTTAACATTAAATAAGTCAGGTGGTCATCAGTTCTTCTTTCTTTCTTTCATACCCAAGATCACTTTCCAAACTTTTCTCATTTATAGGTTCTCATTTTCTTAACTATTCTCCCATATTATGGATTAATAATTTTTTCTTGTATTTTAAATACTTCTAAGGTTTTTTTCTAGTTTATCCTATAAAATATCGTTCTTAAAAGTTGTTAATTTCATCCAAAGGCTTCCCTAATCTTTTTGATCAAGTCCTAAATTCTTGCCTTAGTCTCAGCTATTTTGCTTTGTTTTAAGCGCAGCGGCTTTACTGTTTTCTTCTGGTTTTCACATTTATTCTCTCAATCACATTTTCTTTCCAGCTTCAGGAAATGTGAGGTCTGTACCAGCTGAACTTTTAAGTGCTGATGGCACTGAGTTGACAAGCCACAGGCCTGCCAGTCAGTCAGTCCACTGAGCAGGCAGAATCTTTTTCAACCCATGTTTTTAATTGTTCTTTTATATTACTACTTTTTAAGTGAGTTTTTAAAGAATATGATCAAGGGGGATAAATGAAATTACTTACAAGAATGAAGAATAAGGGAGACAAACAAAATGAAATTGAAAAAGAAAGTTTCACCTTTTATCCCTCTTCACCTTTTGACTGTACTGAGGTCTAAATCAAATAAATTTAAAAAGTATGTAACCATAGCTGTGCATTTTCAGGAATGAGATTTATTCACTGGGAAAGAGCTTCGCAGAAAGACGGAGACCTATCTTGAAATTCAGCATACATTTGGCTTTTCAGAGGTCTTTTAAACGTCATCTAAGATTATTGTCGTAAATATTGCATATGATTGCATCAGCATTTCATTAATTCCTTTCTAGAATCATCAGAACCAGTTGGAAATATTTGACGGAAATGTTGCTCACATAAGTACCTGGCTTTATCAAGCTGAAGCTCTATTGGATGAGATTGAGAAAAAACCAGCAAGTAAACGGGAAGAAATTGTGAAGGTACCGAACACAGAGCATCAGTAACACTTCTGGGAGTGGAAGGTTTTGGTGTGGTCTTTCTCTAGTGCTCCAAGTTATTTGTGCATTCATTCTTCCCTTGCAGTAGATTCATTAGTTTTTATTTTGGTGGGAGAAACTGAGGTCTCATATGAATCCTATATGAACAGGTCTTCATTAAATTGATTATTCTAAAGTCTTCTCCAGGGATCCAAGAAATTCATTTAAACTACCTTTAATTCTGAGTTGGCATCATACCCATCTTTGGTTTTGATTTTTCCCATATGATAATTTTGTGTTTTCTTGCAATTAGCGTTTAATATCTGAGCTAGATGATGCCAACCTCCAAGTTGAAAATGTCCGTGATCAAGCCATTGTTTTGATGAATGCACGTGGAGGCTCAAGCAGGGAACTTGTAGAACCAAAATTAGCTGAACTGAATAGAAACTTTGAAAAGGTGTCTCAACATATCAAAAGTGCCAAGGTGAGTAATTATATTTTAATATAAAACTACTTTTCGTGTAGACATGTATCTCAATGATAGGTGATTATATGGTAAATACATCAAAGAGTTCTGAATTAAAATGATTTTAATCACTTTTTCTTTGAGTGGAGCATCAGTCCTTATTTATTTGTGATTTTGCATATGAAGGAGAGACAACAGGAAATTAGTATTGAAGAAAATAAACCATTTGAGAAAAGCTTTCAAAGTCTCAATCAGAAGTTAAAATTGGCTATAAAATAATAAGACTCCCCTCTGCCCCTACACACCGTGCTTACTCTCTCTCTCTCTCTCAAATAAATAAATAAAAGGTGGGTGTGCCTGGGGGGCTCAGTTGGTTAAGTGATTGACTGTTGGTTTCTCTTCAAGTCATGATCTCAGGGTTGTGATATCGAGCCCCACTTCAGGCTCTGTGCCCAGCACAGGCTGCTTAAGTCTCTGTCTCCCTATTCCCTCTCTGCCCCTCCCCCTTCTCTCTCTCTCTCTTTCTCTCAAATAAATAAATAAATAAATAAATCTTTAAAAAAAAAATTAAGACTCATTTCCAAGCTAGGCATGAATATTAAACCCATTACTGTGTAGTCATACTTTATAAATTTGTGCACACTACATGCTTGTGAACTGGTTTTTTGTTTTATTGCATCAAAAATTACAAGAAATTTCACAATTTAGAACTAATGCAGAAAAGCTACTATCTGCTGTTTTAAATTTGAAAAAGGGCTTTATAAATTTAAATAAGAGGATAATAAGTAAGAGTTTTCCTTTAAAAAGGTTTTATTTATGCTTCCTTATTATAATTTTTCTCTCTGTATGTATCTTACTAATTCTCTTTCTTATTTCCCTTGTTTCCTGAGGGGGAGGGAAGGAAGCATTTTATTGTAGTGTTCTCAAGGCCTGGAGTATGGCGAGGGCTCAGTAAATGTTAAATTGAAAAGATGAGAACATTTCGATGGTTTGCTAGGCAAAAAACAAAATAGCATAGCTGATTTTGGGGGTCATTCAAACCAGGTGTTCATTCTGACAGAGGATTATGAGGTTTTCAGGATCCCCAGCTGGGCTCATGGGTTGGCATTTTTGAGTATTTGGCTAATTCTACCTCTTGAGAGTGGTGTGTGTGGAAATTATCTAAGAGGAAGGATCCTCTTTTTTTGTAAGAAGTAAACATTGTCTAGTCTGCTTTAATTTGAAATATCTGACATAATAGGCCAAATATCTTTCATAGCTCATGAATATATTTAGGTTATTCACAACTTAAGGAAAACAAACAAATAACTTGCTTTAACTTTTGTCTTCCTTAGCTTTGACCTTACTTCCCTACTTTTCTTTTCAAAAGGTATATAGGTATATAGGAGCATTTTCCTGGTTTAAAAGAGTAAGGCATGAGACATAGGGATGGAGTGAGAGGAAGTACAAAGAAGCAAAATTATTGTTGTCCCCATAAATAACTTCTGTTAACATTTTGGCATACATGTCTACTCTTACTCTTATCTATGTGATATGAAAATATCAAAATTTTTATATTGTTTTATATGTTCTCCTTTGACATAGTTTCCAACAGCTATGGGGTGTTCCATTATATGATCTGTTATACTTTTGTAAGTCAGTTTTCCACTTTTAGTGTCCTTTTATAAATATTGAATTGTCAAGATCCTTTTATGCATGTCTTTTTGCTCATTTGTTAATATGCCCTTTAGGGTCAATTCTTAGAATTTCTTGAAATTGTTCTAAGAGTTGTGCATATAAATACCATCAAATAGATTTTTCCAGAGTTCTACAAAAGTTTGTGCCAATTTCTACTTCAATAATCAGTGTGAAAGTGCTCGTTTCCTCATGTTCAGCCAACACCTCGTTATTTTCTTTCATGTTAGTTTTATTAAAGTTATTACATTGAGTTGAGTCATATAAATATAAAGTCTTTCTATAGTGATACTATCTGAAAATACTGCATTGAGAAATATGTACTTTTTTCAGAGTTTGAGTATCAAAATCCAAAGGGGATTCTATGGGGGAAGGTTACCTGGGAGACATTCTGTGGGATAGACCTGTAGTCGGTGGTGGCCTTTCTTCTTTCCGTGGCCGCGGCACAGAAAGATCTTGGCACTATTTCTTGCTGTGCTCATATGCGATCTCAGAATCCTCCCATTGCACTCCAGGGAGCCACAGTTACTTGCACACTTGCTCACGTCTCTGGCTGGAGTTTGGAGAAAATGGGTAACTCAGAGAAGCCCAAATAGATAAAATCATTGCTCTATGAATGAATGAAATTAAAGTCAACTCAAATAAATGCTAGCTCTTCTCTTGACCCTCCGTCCCTCTGATTAACGATGGCAGGTCTGATTAAGAATGTATCTTTTCAAAGAACACTTTTCTTTCTGCAGTTGCTAATTGGCCAGGAACCATTAGCCTACCAATGTCTGGTCACCACTGAAGCATTTGAAGCTGATGTACTTTTCTCTGACCTGGAAAAATTAGAAAGTGACATAGAAAATATGTTAAAAGTTGTGGAAAAACACTTGGAATTCAGTGATGAAGATGAAAAGGTTGGTTCAAGGAGATTTTCAAAACCATGGTGTTCTTACTTTTCTGTTCTGTTAATTATATTTTTACATCAATGATGTTTACCCAAAGAATCTGCCAAGTCATGCCAAAGAATAGACCCATATGTGATTTTCTGCTGAGTGTCATTGTAAGATTTGCCAAGTGATTTACATAATGCTTAAAAAAATAGGCACACTTTTTTGACTAAAGGTACTGTTGTTTCAGTGTTCTCTAATATCTTCTAAACTAACATTCTTTATGAGATATTTTAACTTCAAATGTGAAATATTTAAAAAAACATGAATTTTTGTTGCTTATCATTCAGCTGGACAGATCTTGACTGATCTCATACTTCGTAGGTAGTTCTCCTACTTGGGAACTGATAAGTAAGTGATGCTGTGCATTTTTCTTTTGAGTAAATTGTTTTTCCTATTAAACATTCAGATGGATGAGGAGAGAGCCCAGATTGAGGACGTTCTACAGAGAGGAGAACAAATGTTACATCAACCTATGGAGGATAATAAAAAAGAAAAGATCCGTTTGCAGTTACTACTTTTGCGCACAAGATACAATAAAACTAAGGTATTTTCTTGGGAGAGACTCTGTTTTCCTTCAATAACTTACTTAGCTCGTGCCATTCAGATATTTGATGTTGCATTCCTGGATACCTTAAAAAACAGGTGGAATAGTATCTCTTTCTCCTTTCTAGTATCTAGTATGCATTACTAAATAACATTTATATTTTTAGATGGAACAGGACTCAAAGGAAATAGAAACAAAATCTTATTATTGTGATCTCTTTTGGACTTCTAATAATAAATTAAAAGGCATCTATCCCTTTTAGAAGTGACTTCCTCCTTCAGTTCTGTATTTTATATGTGGAGGTCTTCATCAGCTCAAAAAAATTTTAGTTAACAAGTAACTAAATTTGTGAATTGATAAAATATGATTTGTATTCTAGAAAAAGATTCACTATCAGCTCCCTTTTCAGTGGCCATCATTCCAACTGCACTGTAAGTGTGCTGGTTTTCTCTAAAAGTCTGTTCTTAGGTTATCCTTCTAAGGACCATTTTTAGTTGATGATGTTGAATCTAGTGGAAGATTCTACTCTCTCAGCTTGCTGCCTGTTAGATGTCTCTCTCTGTATGTACTGCAGCCTTGTAACATGTCCCAAGCTAAACTTGTCCTCTCCCTTCCCCTTCCAACCCATGTTTCCTAATTTATTCCCTACCTTAGTTTATTTCCTTAAAAACTACCTATTCTCAAAATAGTAACCTCAAAATCTTCTCAATCATTTCTTGTTCCTTACACCACATCAAGTAGGTATTAAAACCCTCTCTTCTGAATGAAGTATGATGCATCTGAACCTAAAGTTAGACACAGCTCTACTTGCTTTATGACCCTGGGGAAATGACTGAATTTCTCTTAGTCTAATATCCTTTCCATAATTCAGGCTCTTATGATTTTCTCTTGTTATTCACTACAGTGTGTCCCAAGCTGGGTTTTTTATGTCCAATTTTTCTTAGCTCTAGCGCATCCTCCATATTGTCCTCAGAATTATTTCCCCCAAAGTTATGGCTGGTCAGGACATTCCTTTACCAAGAAAGTATTCAGGAAAAAATTGCAAAATACAGAAAAAGCTTTAAGTGCAAGGTTCATCACTATACTATACACTAAGTTTTCTATCTGGCCTCCAGCTACCTCTTTGATTCACTGGCACTTACCAGGAATATAGCTATGCTGGTTTTCTGTACATTTTCCCAAACACATTGGTGCCTTTGCACCTTTGGGATCTTGCTAATTTTAATCTTACTCCTTGGTGTGGGTTTTATCTCCTTATTTTTACCTGAAAAATGTGTTATCTTTTTTTTTTTTTAAAGATTTTATTTATTTATTTGACAGAGAGAGAGATAGCTAGAGCAGGAACACAAGCAGGGGGAGTGGGAGAGGGAGAGGCAGGCTTCCTGCCGAGCAGGGAGCCCGATGTGGGACTCCATCCCAGGACCCCAGGATCATGACCTGAGCCGAAGGCAGATGCTTAACGACTGAGCCACCCAGGCGCCCCAAAATGTGTTATCTTTTAAGGCTTGGCTCCATTTTTATTCCTAACATTTTTTTCAGATGATATGATAGTTCTTTGCTTCACTGTTACTTTTTTAAAATTTTATTATGTTATGTTAATCACCCTACATTACATCATTAGTTTTTGATGTAGTGTTCCATGATTCATTGTTTGTGTATAACACCCAGCTCCATTCAATACGTGCCCTCTTTAATACCCATCACCAGGCTAACCCATCCCCCCACCCCCTCCCCTCTAGAACCCTCAGTTTGTTTCTCAGAGTCCATAGTCTCATGGTTCGTCTCCCCCTCCGATTTTCCCCCCTTCATTTTTCCCTTCCTACTATCTTCCTTTTTTTTAAACATACAATGTATTATTTGTTTCAGAGGTACAGGTCTGTGATTCAACAGTCTTACACAATTCACAGCGCTCACCATAGCACATACCCTCCCCAA